AAATTCTTTCAAAATAATAAAATAAAAGGCAATAAAAATGGAGAACAACGAAGCTTTGATCAAACGAGGAAATTGTTCAGTTTTTTAAAATTTTTGTATCTTTAATCCTCCGTCTTTGAAGAACCAATTTTTTCCCAACCCTCAACCCTTTCAGCACCAAGTATCTTCCACTGAGAACGAACCGAGAAAGTTCTTTCGAAATAAAAGAAAAAAAAAGAAAGAAAGAAAGAAAGAAATAATAAAAATAGGAAGTTTTGACAAAGAGACTTGCAAGACAAGGAAATTACACGTTCGAGGAAAGAACAAAGTTCCCAGCTGCGTATCGTTAAGGATAATGCAGGTGGAAGCGTATGGTCGTAATGTGATAATTCGCCCGTGGCCTGGGTCAAAACGGCGAGTTCCCTTTGCCTTCACAGGTGTGTCGTGAAGACAGAGCGAAATAAGGAGAATAATTTCGTACCCATCCACCCCGTGGATTGACAGAAATTTATGACGCAAGACAGTAAAAGTCTAGTCGACTAATTTCGTTACTTTCACAAGGATAAAACCGGACAACGGCAATCATTTCGCGCTTGCCTGCTTTCGTTCGGAATTCTCCCGCAAGTTTATGACCATTCGGTTTCTTTATTTCCTTCTCTTTTGCTCACTTTCCTTTCTCTCCATCTTTTCTAAATTTTATTTATTTTAGCTTTCGTTTCTTTTTCGTTTTGAGTCGAGCAAGCGTAACAAATGAGTCAGAATTGTAGGATTATTCGTTGAAATTAGAAATGAATTCGAATCGATCGATTTAAAACTTATCAAACAAATTACAAACAGAAATGAATCGCGTTATCATTGCTAACGTCAGTGTGTTGAATTAATATGAAATTTCTGCGAGAATTCGTTTCCATCGTTTTTTGAAATTTCAATCGATTGAAATTCTCGTACAGTCTCAATTATACTCGATAAGATAAAATAAAGAGCGTCGATCGGTCGTGGCAGAAATTACGCGTCCCGCCTTTTCCCCATTTTTGTACGTACGTTTTCTTCAACGATCCTCGAAACTTTCTCTCCTTAATTAGTGTCTGCTGAATATTATAGTCTCTGCCGCCGACAGGCGATATATTTTAACAGGATAACAAGCCTAATAGCCGTTTCTATGCCCGAGTTGAACTCTTATCGCCCGCATCTAGTACTCGAAATGACCACCTTCCCATTTCGACGCAGCCTGTTTTCATAACCAATCGTTGATCTTTTTTACAACCTGAAATTATCCAGGTGTTTCCTCGAATCGCGAGCTTGTTCGATGCAATGACACGTGTTATGATACTTGACATTAGAGGGTACGACTCAGCCTCGATATATCTGTCACATTCATTTCGTGCGCAGTGCGAATTACTCAAGGAGCAACTATTATCGATCGTACATATAAGGAACGATCCTGTCGAATTGAAAATTCCGTCGAAATTCTTGCACAAATAAAATTTCATCGCGTTTTCATTGTTGAGGATCACGTCGCAATTAGAGTTTTCAAGTGCCATATTTGTCACGACAAATTGTGACAGAAAATGAATTAAAATCCGCTAATCAAAATAACAACTATTCTAACTCGATTATGTGGATTACTCAGCAAAAGATATTTTACATATATTACATATACTTGTGTAAATAATTTTTATTTATACAAAGACTTTATATCTATGTACAAATAAAATTCCAAGGGTTAAGTACAAAGGTGGTTAAATATATTTTCCATCGACTAACGTAATTTCGTGTTTGCTTCTCAAGAGATTCCTCTCGAACAGAAATGTCCACTTATTTATTACCGATAAAACAGCGACAAGTGTAAAAGAAACGTTTGACCAACGTGTCTAATTTATAATTTATATATAAATTAAGTAATAAAATAATTTGCTAATTATTATGATTTATTAATTTGTAATATTTTATATTCACGTAAAGACCGTTTTATTTATTTAGAAATAAAATCCCGTTCACAAAGAGGATTAAATATATTTTCCATCGGCTAACGTAATTTCGTGTTTGCTTGTCAAGAGATTCCTCTCGAACAGAAAATGGCACTTATTTATTACCGATAAAACAGCGACAAGTGTAAAAGAAACGTTTGACCAACGTGTCTAATTTATAATTTATATATAAATTAAGTAATAAAATAATTTGCTAATTATTATGATTTATTAATTTGTAATATTTTATATTCATGTAAAGACCGTTTTATTTATTTAGAAATAAAATTCCGTTCACAAAGAGGATTAAATATATTTTCCATCGGCTAACGTAATTTCGTGTTTGCTTGTCGAGAGATTCCTCTCGAATAGAAAATCGCCGAGAAAGAAATTGGCCAATGTGTCTAATTTATAACATTTTACCACATTCTTCGTTCGGGAATCACGCGTTAGGCATCAGCATCGCGTGCTTGGAAACACAGCGTGCGGTAGGAAAAATCGCGACAGTCATTTTCGCTGTCGTTGTAATTCATCTCTTCGGACCAACCGATAATGGCATCTGGTGCCATTTCGCGTCGTGATGCCTACTACCAACATCCACGCGGTGTACTTCCGTGAACGTATAGATTCGAGATTTATGGCACGTGAAATTTTTTTTCTTTTTTGTGTGCAATGAGTTCGCGACTTTTTTTTTAGGACACTGTATGTCAGAGTAATTTTTGAAGTGTTATCTACATTTGACTGTATTGAAATTGTTTTAGAATTGTTTGTGACAATAATCTTTGTATTGTGTAGTATCTTTTTCGGACTAAAGTTTAGTATTTTGGTAGTTTAGTATTTTAGTAGTTTCTGAAGTTCTATTTAATGTATCAGAACGTACAATTGCAAGTTGTGATTGTTTCAGGACGTTTTGTGGTAATAATCTTTGTATTTTGTGGTATTTCCTTTAGTTTTCGGACTCTGTATTTTGATAGTAAAGTTTGGAGTAAATTTTGAAGTATTATCTATTAGTGCAATTATAATTCGCGACTTTTTTAAGAACTTTCTATGGTAATAATCACCGACTGCCAATATTCATTCACGTCATTTCACGATACAAGTTTCAAAGTTCTTATCAACGAGACTATACTAATCAATTAACCTTTCTCATTTCAAACTATCATATCAGTCGCTGACAAGAATTTCAAAACTTATTTGTCAAAACAGTGGCAATCGTTCAAGTGGTAAGCAATTGAAAGAGCGCGAGCATGTATTATAAACATAGAAATATTTTAGTATTCTGAGAGTGACAGTAAATTTACATAGCTTCCAGAAATAATATCTTCCAATGCTATCCGTAAAATACTACTCCCGATTACCAGAAAATAAAAAAGCCCCCATATAAAAGCACGTTCATATACTTTTATATACTCTTAAACGTTACGTTGAAATTTACAACATTCCGGAACACTGTTCATTTCTCAAGTACCCATTAAAGTGACACCAGTCAGAACGCAAAGTATGAAGCAATCGCTTCAGCGATCAAAGGAGTAAAAAAAAAAAAAAAAGGGCGGAAGAATATTTCGAATATTTCGTTTAATCCTCGTTTCGTCTCACCTTGTGCGTACACGTACGCACGTACACAAACGTACGCGTACCAGTGGCAAAGCAGGTGCCATCGTAATGTAATAACCCGGCAGGTCAAACGGCCATTGCCGGCTACAGGTGCAACAAAGTTGACTGCCGACCGCAGCCTTTATGGGGACCACACAGCGAGCCACGGAGGTTTATTCACGGAGTAGAGAGAGAGAGAGAGAGAGAGAGAGAGAGAGAGAGAGAGAGAGAGAGAGAGAGAGAGAGAGAGAGAGAACCGTTGCCATTACGCGCAATTTTAGAAACTCCGCACTGGTCGAAGAAAAATAAAAATCGAAAAGGATCCTCTTCGTTGTTCGTTTGTTAATTACGGGAGGGGGAGGGTAAAAGTTGTCTTTAATCGAGGCGATAACTAGGCCGATGGTAACTGGGATTTCGACAGGAAGCTCAAAGATCAGGGGGAGGGGGTTGGAAGTTCGTTTTGAAACTGATTGCCGACTGATTGGTGAATGATTGAACGATGCGACGACAACGTCTGGAAAATGTTTCACGAGTGGGGGAAATACTTGGAATCGGTTGCATCGTTTTGTACTCTCTGTTCCGAGTGTTTTGGAACTCTTACGCATTTTCTACGTGAAAATTCCATTGCAGTATTTAACAGATTAATTTTTATTTAATTATTTGTATATTATTTGTATATTACTTTTATTTAATTATTTAGTTATTATTTGTTATTACTTAATTATTTGTATATTTATTTTATTTAATTATTTGTATATTTGTATATTATTTTTATTTAATTATTTGTATATTTGTATATTTGTATATTATTTTTATTTAATTATTTGTATATTTGTATATTATTTTTATTTAATTATTTGTATATTTGTATATTTGTATATTATTTTTATTTAATTATTTATATATTTGTATATTTGTATATTACTTTTATTTAATTATTTGTATATTTGTATATTATTTTCATTTAATTATTTAATTATTTGTATATTATGCTTGCTTCATGATTGACTAAAATAATGAAGATATTTAAACTACACTTAAGGATCACTTAATTATCTTTCCCCCGTGCCTGCCAGTGAACTGGCACTGCCACACGATAAATAATTCCGACTTTTACCAAACAGTAAATAACACGCATTCAAACTTCTCAAATCACATCGTGTTTAACTCGAGACACGACTAGAAAGGAATTCTCTCTAATTGGTGAAATAAATTTACAAATAAATCTCGTCGATCGGGATAAAAATCGATTCCGGTTAAAGTGTCAAGACCCTTCTCGAATATTATTAATTCAAGGAGCGGCCCAACGTCTGGATAAATGGTGTCCAGTAAAAGGATATTTGGCTCCGACTGGCGCGCAGTCGATAAAGAAGTCGATAAACTGTCCAACGCCATCTCGAACGCTCTCTTCTTCATTTTGTTTATTTTTTTTTTTTATTTTTTGCTTTCTCTTGTTCGCAGACAATCCTTCTGGGCGACAGCGGTGTGGGCAAAACGTCCCTGCTCGTTCAGTTCGACACCGGCAGATTCCAGCCGGGAAACTTCGCGGCCACCGTCGGCATCGGCTTCACGGTAAGTGCCACGTATTTTCAATATTTATTTGTTTGCGAAGAACGAAGAACGAAAGCCTCGAAGCACTCGATCTTTGTGGAAGCGAGTCGCGAATTTTTTTTACAACGAATCTGTTCCTCGTTGAATATCATCAGAACTGTCGCGGGACATTTGTTTAACTCGGGGATTACGCCTAGAAATATTAAATTATTAACGACAAACAAATTGGCTTTCGTTCTGTCAACCCCTTAAGAGTTCACTAAATTCGAAAAAATTGTTTCCCTTGCTTTGTACACAATTTTTCAGTAGAAGCTTCTAATTTCGATAAAAAAAGGATAAGGAATTAACTGTATCAAAATCAGATTAAGCGATCAGATCTTGGAATATAGAATGTTCTAAATATTTTTTCGTGGTATACGAGTGCCAATACAATCGCAAAATTAAATCTTAAGGGGTTCATTTGTTAAAATAATTGCAGAGTATCTATCAAACGTATGTAGATACGATTGAACGCAGGTAAGTATCGATTTCTTAATTCTCATAGAAACAACAGCGACTTGGTTTCTTCGATTTTTCATCAAGTAAAAACAGTCTTGATTGACGCTCATCCCTAGAACATTTTCTCAAGACGTATTTTTATTTAGCATATTATTTTTCAACAAAATTTCAAAATATACAATTTCATTTCACTTGGCAACATTCTCGGGTAATTTCAAAATATTATTCTCACGACGGTTGTGAAAGCATCTACAACAAAAAAATCTCCGACAAAGGTACACAATTTCTATTCCAAACTCCAATGAAAATACATTCGTATATTTTCGGAGTACAATCATTATTCGCGCACGCTTTTGCGTTCTAAATAAACAAACTCTGCCGCAAGCTTCATTTTACAGACCTCGTTTCAATCATAATCGAATACTCATAATTTCCAAGGTAAATGTCGAAAGAACGCGTTATCTTTGACAACAGATTTTGGTCGAAAATTCGAAAATTGGCGGGGCACTCCAACCTCCAAATGGTCGAGTGTTAATGTAAATTCCAAGTGAATTCTGAACTGCGTGCCACTTTCTTTCGTGGGCGGAAGTTTGATCAGCGGGAAAAAAATTTTTCGAGCGCATTTCCTCGCGCTTCACTTAAGCACTTGCGCTGGCAACTGATTGCGGACCATAACGAGTGACCGAACCGTATGCAACAATTCGTCGCTTTCTTTTTGAACTCGTCGATATCATATGATATCATTGAATAGAAATTATTCAGAAGTAATAAATTTATTATTTGTTTTGCCTGGGTTATACTTAAATATACTTAAAACTGAGGAAATATTGCAATTTTGGGAGAAAAAATTCTCGACGTGCGTCATTTCAGCGCAAGAGGTTAACCACTCGCGTTGGCAATTGATTGCGGACCATAACGAGTGACCGAACTGTATACAACAATTCGTCGCTTTCTTTTCGAACTCGTCGATATCATATGATATCATTGAATAGAAATTATTGAGAAGTAATAAATTTATTATTTGTTTTGCCTGAGTTATACTTAAATATACTTAAAACTGAGAAAATATTGCAATTTTGGTACAAAAAATTCTCGACGTGCGTCATTTCAGCGCAAGAGGTTAACCACTCGCGCTGCAAACCGATTGCGGACCATAACGAGTGACCAAATCGTATACAATAACTCGTCGTTTTCTTTTTGAACTCGTCGGTATGACATCACTGGAAGAGTATAATAAATAAGAGTATAATAAATAATAAGAATATAACAGAAATTATTAAGATTTAGTAAACTTATCATTTGTTTTGCCTGGGTTACATTTAAATATACTTAAAACTGAGAAAACGTTGCAATTTGAGAGAAAAAATTCTCGACTTGCGTGGTACGTCATTCCAGCGCAAGAGGTTAAAAGCGTCACATTTGCGTGTATCAGCGTCTACCAATGCGAGCGGATGCATTTATGCATGAGGCTGAAAGGCGCGCGCTACGCTTTTACGCCGTGTCTCTCGCGGACGTTTACTTGCACTCGCTTCGCCAGTCAAATTTATTATCGTTCCACCGACCGTTTGTTCGTCATTCGTACGTACATACGTGTACGCGAAACCTCTCAAACCATCTGTAATTTTCGTGATTCTCTTGCGTGGAATTTTATTAGCCCATTATTACTAACGTTGAATAGAAATTGCAGGTATTTCAGTTTTGTTTATGACTCGACCGCTTGTAAGAGAATGATTTCATATATGTACATATATATAAAAAGATGTATTTTTGTCGTTTAATTGGAATTTATAGAAAAAGATTTTTTAGTGTTGTTCCTCTGTTAAAGAAAGTTTGATGTTGAAGATGCAAGAGTGCTGAATAAAATTAGTGAATTGTTAAATTAACTGTTCGATCGAGTGATTTCCTGCTGATTAAATTCAGTCGTTCAAGTGTAACAGCTTGCACGAACGAGAAACCATGAAAATGAATTTTAGTTACATGAACTGATGTCTTTTGATAGATCCATGTGAGTAAATGAAGTTGTATTGGACAAAACAATGATATAAGAAAGGCGCTATGTAACATATACACCACAAACAATTAATTACCAATCTATAAACTAGTAATTTACTTATGACTGTACGTATGGTTAGTGTGTGCAAATAAATCAACTTGCATTTTAATAATATCGTTTCTGTAAATTTTTATATAAAAATCAGAAAAGGAACTGATATATTAAAATAAATTAAATAGATACTAATTAACTATTAACCCATAAACAATTAACCCATAACATAGCAATTTTTTCATACGATCTAATCTATTTATAGATTATATATTTATAAATAAGTAAATCGATATAATATTGTAAAATACACTGCTGAAGCATTGAAATAAAGTCGTCGAAATGTAGACAATATAGTGGATTAAAAATTGGTTGCTGCGGTACACTCCGAATTAATCGAATTGTTTATGATTTATGCCATTTAATAGAAAACCATTAGTCGAAAACATTAGACAAATTTCGTGCATATACTGCGTGTCTACTTTTGGTGTACATTGTACATTATGTGAGATTCAAATTTAATGAAATAAATTTAGTCTTTTCGGAGACAGTTATCGACAACAGAGCACAATTTTATCGGCAAAAAAATTTACGAACATTAACATCGCTGTATTAAAAATATTTGCCGGGAATTATGTAGAAAAATTTGCTCTGCTTCTCTGCTTCTCTGTTTATTTATTAAATTGTATCTGGCGCGATCAATTAATATTCAATATCGTGCAGTTATCGAGCACGCGAATGAACATAAATTACACCGGTGTATCGTACAGTCAGTGATAAACGTGCTGTTTCGTGGCTTTTATTTCGTTGTAGTACACGCAACCATGTTCGAGTAAACAGGTATTCCCGTGGCCAGGTGAAATTCCATTAGCGATTGTTATTGTTTCCATGCCTCTTTGAAACGGGGCAGCATCCTTGAATTTTCAATTGGCGCCGAAAGAGGCGTTGAAATTTTCAGTATTAATCTCGTTAACTTTTCATCGACCTGGCCCGGCGATGTGTTGAAAAATTGTGTGAATTATTTAAACTGGCAATTTACGGGCAAACAGAATGTACGGGATAAAACGAGCATGTTGCAAAGAATTCGCTTCGGAGATGATGCTGATGAAAAAATGTGAAGACTAGGATGTCGTTTGATTTTAAAAGTTACTGACTACATTAAAAAACCGTTTGATCGAGAAAATTTAGGAGCGATACTACTTGATGTTCAATTTCATCAAGAATTTCATTATATTTTCAATTGCAAATCGTATAGAGTAAAAGATTTAAGTGAAAATTAAATGTTGCAGGATTTATTGTTAAATTGTTTCATTAAATGAATCAACTGTTATTCAAAATTGGGAATAATCACAATTGTGATTGGAAATTTTGTGACCGTTCCCATTGAAAGTGTCAGTGAAATTGTACGTCTCGAAAAAGACCAATGAACAAATAACTCACAGTCTCTAGAAATAACCACTCACAGCAAAACAATTCAATTCCAAAAGCTAATTCCACGAAACTTAATTTCTAACCAACAAAACAAATCGTTCATAATCACTCGCAACAAATAATTGAAGTTTAAAAATGAAGGAATTTGGATTTGGAAAGCCAATTAATTCACGTGAATGATTTTAACAAACGCTTGAAGTTTAACTATTTGCGCTGGCGATTGCGGACCACAACGAGTGACCAACACCGTATACAATAATTCGTCGCTTTCTTTTTAAACTAGTCAGTATGATATCACCGGGTAGAAATTATCGAGAAGTAATAAATTTATTATTTGTTTCGCCTATTTTGTTTTACTTAAATATATAATTTTATTTATTATTATATAATTATATAATTATATATGATTTATTTATTACATGTTATGATACAATATATAATATAACATAACCTACGTTCTGCCTAATATAACCGATATTCTAGCTAAATACATTGACATTTAGTGTGTATATTGTTAAATTATATTACAGATTAAAGCTGTATTAACTTTTAAATAAAATAAAATGTTCTATAGTGTCAGAAAACGACATTACTTATAAGTGTCCTTAACCACTTGTGCTGGTAACTGATTGCGGACCGTAACGAGTGACCAAAACCGTATGCAATAATTCGTCTCTTTCTTTTTCTACTCGTTTGTATGATATTACCGGATAGAAATTATCGAGAAGTAATAAATTTATTATTTGCTTCGCCTATTTTGTTTTACTCAAATATATAATTTTACTTATTATAACATTGTTATGCTACAATATATAATATAAAATAACCTACGTTATGCCTAATATAATCTGTTAATTGTAGCTAAATACATTGACATTTAGTGTGTTTATTGTTAAATTATATTACAGATTAAAGCTGTATTAACTTTTAAATAAAATAAAATGTTCTATAGTGTCAGAAAACGACATTACTTATAAGTGTCCTTAACCACTTGCGCTGGCAACTGATTGCGGACCATAACGAGTGACCAAAACCGTATGCAATAATT